AGTCTTCGTCTTGTCGCGGCCGTGGTTGTTGCGCGGCCGACCACCATCCCGGGCAGCTGCCAACACTTCACCCTCGTTTGGTGTTGCAGCCTCGGCATAAGAAGTCGGTGAAGTCGCCCCATTGCAAGCCACCTTTGGCTTGGGCTGGGTGCTGCTCGTCGTCGCGGAAGATCGGCCGGCGTTGCGGGCTTCTACATTCGTGAGAATGATCCGTGACGCTGTGCTGAAAAGCTTGTCAGATGTGTCGAGTGTCTCTGCAATCTGCGTCGGCGTGTTTTGCAGGGCTGGACACGAGCGCATGATAAACAAGTGCTTGACGCCGCGGAATGCGAGCGGCAGGTCAGGTGTGGAGGCGAGTCTTTGGAGCTCGGAAATCCAGTCCTGACTGTGCAACGTGTTCTGATGGAGCTTGTTGAGCTTGTCCATCGCTTGCAGGTCGGGCGGCTCCACTTGGAATCGCTTGTGCCAGGCATCAGTCAACTCCTGCCAAGTGAGCTTGGTGTGCAGTTCCGACACTGCTACGCCGTGGCTGGTCAAGATGTTGTCCAGCCATGCTTGACATGCACCACCAGATCGGTGGTACAAGCACGGATGTCGATCGTTGTTCGGGGCATGGTGCATGTCGAGCCTGAGAGTAAACTGGCGCCACCACGGGATCGGTTCCGTCTTGGACTGATCGCAGAAAACTGGAATGTCATCCAGTTTGGGTGGGCGCCGGGAGGATGCGGCTGCGGGCGTCACGGTGGCAGCAGCCTGGACCTGCGTCTCCAACTGCAAGTTCGTTGCTTGCTGCGACGTCCGGAAATCCTGATGCACACGCTTAATGTTGCTGACGTCATCCTCCAAAACTTGAACGCAAGTGGTAAGGTTGGAAGGCCCTGCGGCTGCTACAGCATCTGGCTGTTTCTCCAACGCCTGCAGCCGTGTAAGCATCTGGTCCAATGTCTACTGCAGGTGAAGGATTTCCTCCTGCTGCAGAGCGCAGGTGGCCACGAGGTCGTGGGAGATCTGCGCAACGGCGAACAGCCCTTTGTCAGTCTGCGGGGCCCTGTCTGCAGATGCCATTTCCACCCAATGTGCGGTCTCATCGCCGATCACGGTCTCCCGCGTGAACAGTCGTTCCCGCTGGCGTGACCGGTGTTCAGCTGCCGCCTGCAGGTCTGCCTCCTCTTGACGAAGTCGGTCCTGTTCCTCCTTCCGTCGCTTGGCCTCCTCTTCTTGTTCATTCTGACTACGTTCCTTGGCCGCGGCGGCGGCCCTATCGTTGGCCTCCTGGATGAATGCCGCCACGCGTTCCTCATAGGCCAGGAGGGATTCTCCCGCCTTCCGGTCCATGGCCTTGGTCTGTGATCGAGTGAGTGGCATGCACTGTCGTGCCTGAAGAGTCACCCGTGGGCCAATCAGATGGACTGGCCCAGTACCCGGACTGGAGGGGGAGGAACAGGTAGGCAGCAGACAAGTGGGAAGGATCGGACAAATCCCAAATTGAAGAGTTTCCTAATCAAAAAAAAAAAAAATCATTTTTGATAAAAAGAAGTAAATCGAAAATTCAAAAAAAAAAAGACTGTCCAATCCCACCGAGTACCGAAGGTGATGCAGAAAGCAGATGTGAACCTTCGGTGCTCGGACTGCAGAGAATCAGAAAAGAAGAATCTTTTACAAACTCGGAGTAGTAGGTTGCAAAAAGGAAAAAATGCCGTTTTTTTTTTTTTTGGTGAAAAAAAGAACGGAATTTGCAGACCTACGCAGTGAAAGTGTAGAGGGACATTTCGGAAAAAATCGCGAAATTGTCAAAATGCAGACATTTAACAATTAAACAAGGTAAAAAAAAAAATTCCCGGAAAAAGAATTCTCAGAACGAAAGAAAAAAAAAATTCTCGGAAAACAGATTTCTCGGAAAAATAATTTCTCGGAAAAGAAAAAAATAATTTCTCGCAAAAATTTTCTCGGAAAAAGAAATAATTTCTCAGAAAAGAAAAAAAATTCTCGCAACAATTTTCTCGGAAAAAGAAATAATTTCTCGGAAAGAAAAAAAATAAATAATAATTAATTCCGGGAATTTTCCAAGATTAAATAAGAAATTGCCAAATAATCAATCAACTTAATCAATCAATTAATTAATCAATCAATCAATCAATCAATCAATCAATCAATCAATCACAGATGATTGTTGGTTGATTGATCGATTGTTTGATCAATCTCCTGATTGACTGATCAATCAATCGAAGATTGATTGGTGGCAATCTGCCAATCCAATCAATCAATCGATTGATTGGTTGTTGCCAAGATTCACTGAGGCAACAACTGGCAGCATAGATGCAACATTCACAAGGTGTCAATGTGCACAATGCAAAGAGTAAACCAACGAGAAATCAACAACAACACATTTGTATCATCATCATGGGATGGGAAACAGCACAGCGGAAGTCTTAGTAACCAAAGGACACGAGGACAGACAACATGAAAGAGGGAAACTTCGGAAGGGCAGGACATCAGAAAGATTGCCCTTCCGCTCACACACATGGGGAGAGATCCATAGACATGCGGGAGAGAAAGGGGAGAGACATAGGAGATAACCAAGTCCAACCCAAGTCTGATCTCCGAATGTCGTACACAGTTCAATCCCAATGTGGAGTGTAAGTCCGAACTGAATGTCGCGTCCAATAAGGCAGAGTGCCGTGTCCAAACAATGTCTGCAGTTACCTCTATCCCTACTCTGATAAAGAAGAAGAAGAAGAAGAAGAACTTCGGAGGAGTAGGAGGAGAAGAGGAGAGGAGGAGGAGAAGAAGAAGAAGAAGAAGGAGAGGAGAAGAAGAAGAAAGCTAGGCGCTTTCTGCACTTACCTGGGGACTGGAGAGCCCAGCTATGGCGCTGGTAGGTCGCAACAGGTACGCCCTTCTTCCMCCTCTCTCTCTCTCTCTCTCTCTCTCTCTCTCTCTCTCTCTGAACTCCACTACTCTCCTCGGCGCTG